CCCTTCGATATTGAATTTTTTAAAATATTCCTTTCGAATCATTTCAATTTTTACGTACACATATTCTTACAAATATGCCTTCTCCCGGGTAGATCAGATTGAAAAACGTTAAATTGAAAAAAAACTCCTCAGTTCTTGGGGAGGGAGTGGACTTAAAGTACTCCAGTGGTGGATACTATTAGCGCGTAAGTGTTTGTGAGAGGAAACTTCTTCTAATTATTTTATTTTAAGGATAATTCAACACTATGCATTACGTGAAGAAGCCTCTTTATTACTTCCTTCGGATGGATCTTTGGATAAGGTACGCAATTTTCTTGAAGTGCTATTTATCATTGTCAAAATTAAACTGATTTGTAGCTAATGGACTGTTGTGAGGTTGTGCAGGTAAGTTGAATTTGATGTGGTGTCCTTTGAGTGAAGTTCTCAGTTCTAACTTGGTTGAATAGTTTCACTATCGATTTTTCCTATGCACGCAACATTTCCGATCGAAATCCACCTCGTAGTAAAAGAAGTTAATTGCTGCTAATTTGTACTGTAAGGCTTGTCGATTCCACCTACATAAATGAGACCACTTAGTAAGAACTGTTCGGACGAAAAGGCAGGCACAAGATTACAAGCTCGTTATTACAGGTCCCGTTATCACGAAAAGGTGCTTCTTACTCGTTGATGGGATCGATTTTCACTACGGGAAGCGAGAAAAGATCATTACAGCTAGCTACTGAAGTAAACTCTCGGTTACAAGCTGTATTGGAAGATGTGATGATCAAAAACATAACGCTTAAGGTGGGTTGACTGTGCAGTTTTTTTTTTGAATTTTTGCTGTACCGAGAAAACAGCGAAGTATTAAGCCAATTTTATGCGATGCTAATTTAGGGCTCGGTGGACTCACTAAGCAACGAGGTGTCGCGGTTATCTCGAGAGAATCGTCAACTTACATTAGCACACAGTCGATGTGCTGAGCAACGGCCATAGATTAATTTTATGATTTATGAGAATACAAAAATTATGAATTATTAATACATAAATTATTGATCCTTTTGGGTTGTTATTGGTGCAGT